CAAATAATTCTGCTTTATTTGACATATATGATCCAAGAAATTGGGATGCTCTGGATTCAAAGTTGATAGACATTTTGGTAGAGAATGTTCCTAAAAGAGATTTAAATTTTGTCGAAGGGCCTAAAGATAAATTATATACAAGATTCTCAGCTACATTTTACATTGCCTAATGGAGAGAAATGTGATAGAGACTGGTTCGTTTATTCAAAGGAGCTTGATAGGGTGTTTTGCTTCTGTTGTAAATTTTTTAGAAAAGGTGTAGGCAAAGGTTCTTTAGCCAACACAGTTTTGATGATTGTGGACATCTTAGTGCTAGACTAAGAGAATATGAAATAAGTGTGGAGCATATGAGTAACATGAGAACTTGGGAAGAATTGAGGCTTCGATTAAAAAAATGAGACAATTGATAAAGTAGCTCATGATTAACTTTTGAAAGAAAAGGAGTTTTGGAGACAATTGTTGTTTAGGGTGATTGCAACTATGACATATCTTTCTAAGTATAATTTGTCCTTTCGTGGAATGAATGAGCGGCTCCATCTGAATCATAATGAGATTTTTTAGGATTAATTGAGACGCTGGGTGAATTTGATTCTATTATTCTAGAACTTATTTGTCGCGTCGACAATAAGGATACTCATCACCATTATCTTAGTCATAAGATTCAAAATGAATTGATAGAGATGCTTGCTTCAGGAGTAAAATCTAAGATCACTAAAAGAATCAAAGAAGCTAAATATTTTTCTGTGATACTAGATTGTACTCCTGATGCAAGTCACCGAGAACAAATCACTTTGATATTAAAATGTGTTGATATCTTCTCTTATTCATTTAAAATAGAAGAATTTTTCTTGAAATTCTTGGTTGTGAATGACACGACAGGTCTTCTCGTGGTGACATTCGAGAATACTAGCCTCGGGTTACAAGTTATCTTATTTAATTGAATCATTAAATCAACACCGAATGCTACTATTAAGATACACATATGATGCTTGTTCTATATGCATTAATTAAAAGTAAGGATTATTAAGGAACACATCTCGTTATTAATAACTACCCTTTATGAATTGGACGATTGAATCTCCACAATTAAGTATTCAAGAGGAGAGAGTTAAAGTAGTAATCGTGATCAACGATATTTTATTTCACCCATTTTAGTATTTTATTTGGTTTCTCAATTATCAAAATATCCAAACCTCCCTTCCGCTTACTTTTATTTGTTACGCTTACATAGACGCGGAAATCTTTTCCTATGGATACGAACTCTACTACGCAATACTACAGTATTAGTCTTTAATAGAGAATTCAATTTGAGTCACACAACGACGTTAGTACTGTCGGAGGAAAGAGTGTTTGATCATGCATGATGCGGATGATCAAACTCAAATTGCCATGTTTCAAGTAAAGCATCACGGGCCATAGAGTTCACCTCAAGCCTCATCCATGATCCACAAAGTCGTACCATATCATGCACCCTCCAAAGAGCCGACTAGTCGAGAGGGGCAAAAAAAGAAAATTGTGTTGAGTCATAATACCCATGGAGGGATGATCGAGGGAGATGAATGTGGGTGATGAATTGAAGCCTAAGTGCTTATATGCTTGAGGAGAGATTTAAGCTCTAGGAAGCGCATAGTGTATATTCCCCTCAAGAGTACAAAACATCTTAGGGGCCATTTACTTTTTTCCATTAAACCCTGAATTGATTAAGACGTCTGTCTGGATTAAGACGTCTGTCTGGATTCAGTGACAATGAGATAATAAGCTGTTTACTATGAGTGCTGAATGAAAAGTCTGAATTATGTGAAATGACTAAATAACCATTCCGTCTAGAACAAATGATGAATATATATATTTTCTGTTTATTTTTCTTGTTCTGAAAGATAATTTCATATGCCTAATAAAAGAGTCACATTACATGATAAGAAAAAAATTAAGGGTTCTACAACAACAACATTTTAAATTTATATTTTCCTACTAGTCTGTTAGCAATTTCATTTGACAAATTTATCATATACTCCGTATTGTAGATTTTGGGTACACCATTGCGCACTATCAACTTTTCCAATATCTTCACCCCCCTCTTGTGCTTCATTGTTGAATATGGTATCATTGTCCCATTCATTGAATAAGTTATCTTGAATGTTACACTTTCTAATAAAGAAAAGGAACAACAGGCAAAACATTATTAGATAATCAAGAACTTCCCAGATTAGCTCCTAGGAAAAAGCAGAACATTAGCTACTACTAAAAAATTCAAACTTCATGACTATAATTTGATACTACGTATATAAAAGCAAGCTGAATTAATGCACTGAAATGCCAAAAAAACTCCTTTATGACTGCAATTTTATCAAGTATACGTTCCAGAAAATTAGAAAGTAGAAACTAATCGGATTCTATTGAATGTCAAAATTCAGATCAAGTATGTAAACAAACTCTTCAACCTATAAAATTATAAGAATATATAAATTTAAAGAGAATACCTAGAGGATGAAGGTGGCGATGGACTGGATTCAAAGCGCAGGTGTCGGCGATGAGAGGTGAAGAAGAAGGTAAGCGCGCTGAAGATAGGTGAAGACGAAGGCAAATGTCTACGATGAAGGTAAGTTTTTTTAGCTCAGAAAACAACCTCAAGCTCCTCTAGATAATAAGAGGACCAAAATCAATTTATCTAAAGTTCGGTTCAACTTGGTTACATGCTGACTACCTTATAGGAATGGAGGTAGTGGTAAGCATGATTTCTAACTTATCAAGCATATAGTGCATATACATAATTCAGAAGCATATAAGTGAATTTGGGAGAAACTCTCAACAGCTCATTAACAAAGCTTCAAAGAAGCAAACACAAATGATAAATGTTGATCATGCCTGCGCAGGGTAGCTGAAGTATTTTAGGGCCTCAATCCCCATTGCGGGACCAATAGTATTTGTAATGCCAGCACCCCAGTAGCTCCACGCCTCCACCAAGGAGCGCCACTGCTACTTCCATTAGACCAAATCTGTATCATCAAGAAAGACCATATCAAGCAAATCACATTTTGCGCCAGGTTTAAGAAAGCCAAATGTTCGAACCTCTTTTTGTCCGGACCAAAATGTTTCATTGATACAGTCTCTTGAAGAACGCCTTGATAGATATAGGCAGACCAAATACAGGCGACGCAGAAAGCTAGCGAGGTTTTTGTCTGAAGGTAGAAGCGGAGATTTCAGGGTTAAACAGGACACTCTAACAAAATGGGATGTCTGAATCGAAAGGATAATTAAAACAGAGTTGAACGAATAAGTTAGAAAATGTTTGACCGAATAAGTCAGAATTTGTATTAAGTCCCAAGTAAACAAAAGTGTACAATTGACCGAATAAGTCACCCGTTCAATTCAGTCCATTAAGTTCAAAATAAACAGGGCCTTAGTCATCCATGTATACACTTTATTCACAAATTGGGTATGAGGTTTCGAGGTTTTATACTCTTGTGTATTTGTTATGATGTTTTTATTTAAACTAATACGGAGTATCAATCTCAAAATCAGACCAAACTAAGAGCCGGTTTTGTAATCTCTATTTTCAGGCTATACTCAAAATTTTTAGGAAAAGTTTCCGAAATAAGACTAAAATAGTTTGAAAATTTCAAAATGGAACTGTAATGTTTTTTATTCCCAAAATAGGACTAATTACTGACATGTTTAGAAAATACTGCCATGTTTGAAGTCTGGTACTACCAAAACCTGACAGTAATTAGTCGTATTTTGGGAATAAAAACATGACAATCCTATTTTGGAATTTTCAAACTGTTTTAGTCCTATTTCAGGTAATATTCTCAATTTTTTATACTAAATACATAGTTTTTGATTTGCGTATTGAATTGTGTAATAAACAAAATATGTAAGGTTCGAGTTACATATAAACCCTAACCAGTATCCACACATTTAATACAATACATTCATTTTCTCCAATTAGCTCGTAGTCGCTCTTTAGTTGTATGTTTGGACAACTTATTATCCATCACTCTCTCTATGATCAAAATTAATAGTCAAATAAAAAAATGAATTACTAGTACATTTTTATATAATTCATAAATTTTGACAAAGTTACTTGCATATTCAATAATATTATTAAAACGGATGATTTCTAAATTGTTAAATTTGTTTTAGAGGGGTTTTTGTCATTAGTAATTATAAAACATGTGGGTTTGATGCATTGTTTATATCACGGGATTAGTGTATTGATTTTATGTATCACAATGAGTTTGGTTTATTAAAGCCTGTAATTTTATAAAAACATACTAGTATAAGATTATTACAATAAGAAAAAAGGGAAAAATAATTAAAATACCCCAAACTATGAAGGGTGTGAGATAAGCACCCCAAACTTCCATATGTAATTTAAATACCCCAAACTTTATGTAAAATGTTATTTTAACACCATGGTCATGTATCATTTCTTTAAAAAATGTAAATTTATGATGTTAATTGCATAATTCAAAATATCAAATTGAAAACTTTGCAATTATATAGAGTGGAGGGTAATACTATTTATTTCACAATGGAAGTTTAGAAATGTTAATTTTATCTTTATGAATGCTAAAATATTTTAAGTTACGAAATTAACATCAAAAATTGACATTTAAGAAAAAATAATACATGACTAGAATGCTAAAATAACTATTTATATAAAGTTTGGGGTATTTAAATTACATATCCAAGTTTGGAGTGCTTACTTCACACCTCTTCAAAATTCAGATTATTTTAATTATTTTCCCCAAACAAAAACTATAATAGGGTTATTATATTTGGATCAGCATTTCATTACCTGACCCTCACATTTTGAGCTTTCTGCTCCTCCTACCCAACTTCTCCATCACTCTCCTCCCTTCTTAACGACGGCCCCTGCAATTCTCGTCGCCCCGACTAACGGAAGAGCTCCCTGATATCCGCTCGGCTTCAATTTGCGCTCACGGTCTTCAACGCTGTTAGATTCGTCCGCATAACCACTCAATCCTTGATTGTGTTGAGTAGAGCTCTAACTTAGAGAAGGTAAAGAAATGACATTAACTTTTTACCCGTTTCTAATTTAGGGGTTATTATTAAAGCCGAAGTGGATTTTGACTTATTGTAGGATTTCACTCTCCATGTTTTTTTCTGAACAAATATACGGAGGAGTTATTTTTTTTCTCTAGGAAACTTTAAATCGATCCATATAAGGTGTGTGTCGTTTAGACTTCTTTAGAATCATTGAATTGAAGTGTTTTGTGCTATTTTGATGTTTGGTAAGACTTTTAAATTCCAAAGGTTCTTTCTTGGTGCTCATTTGTGCCTTTGCATTTATGGTGTTGTGATTTTATAGCTTAGCACATAATGGGGCTTTCTGTTTTACATTACTTTTCAAATTTGTGTGTTTTTTTATCTCAACAATAAGGTGTTTTTATTCATTCGGAGCTCTTTAGATGGGAATGCGGAGGGAATTTCTTTTTGCTTCTATATATCACAGAGTAATAGATAGTTGCTATGTAACTAATGGTAAAAAGAACGAAAGACAGCCTGTTGGCGTTGCATTGAACTGGTTTTTGAGGCCATGATTATGATTTCGTAGGAATGGAATCAAAGTTCTTTCGCTTCCTAAAGATAGTTGGAGTTGGTTTCAAAGCAAGAGCTGAAGCAGAGGGGCGTTTGTTATACCTAAAACTGGGTTACAGCCATGAGGTTGAGCTGACTGTTCCTCCGGCTGTTCGTGTGTTTTGCTTCAAACCAAACGTGATCTGCTGCACAGGGATTGACAAGCTAAGGACACATCAATTTGCTGCAGCCATCAGAAGCTGCAAACCACCAGAAGTGTACAAAGGGAAAGGGATAATGTACATTGATGAAGTGATTAAGAGGAAGCCGGGAAAGAAGTCGAAATGAGTTCTTCAGGTTCTTCATTTATTTGTACCCACTTTTGTATTCAATCCATCTGCTGAAGATAATAAGACTGGGTGTCCTGGATTTCCTGATTTTTTTTGTTTTCTTCTTGATATAAATTGTCATTGTACTCTATTTTCTTCTCTATTTTCTTTCAAGAGATTTTTACATCATGGTGTCAGTTTTGTTTTAGAAGGAACTAGTTAATTCCCTGTTTGTGTTCAATCAATTAGAATCTGATATGAAAAATAAGTTAATCGACGAAGAGCTTAGAAAAGAAAGCCAACTAAAAGTTGGGATATTGAGATATCTGCAGCTGTATTTATGGGTAGAAGATGTTTATACACATCAAAAGGTGAATTCACACACACTAAATTAAAACAGAATATGATCTTATACAAGAAATGGGAATGAATCTGGTGCATTGTATTTTGAGATCTAAAAGGTCAAAAGATGCCAACAATACATACAATCTAATAAAAATGCAGTGTCATTTATACTAATGGACTCGATTTTTCTGCAACATAAATTGCTCCAAGTATAAATGTGCACATTCATGAAGTGCACCTTTTCACATACTTCTCATTTCATGCAAGAATTATCATTCTTACCGAAACCACACCCTATATACCACACCCTATATACATACATGCCTTGAATTTGTTAATTAGGAAGCAAAGAAAATGGGTTGATCATACTTGTTGGCTGAAGTTGCTGAAATTGCACATTTTAGCATTTCTTTGTATTTCTTCAAGTATTTCTATCTTTATTTTATCAATGGATATACTGTAAATATTTTCTTCTTTACAGTTAAACATATTTAGCAACTTCATGGTTATATGACCTGCCGTTTCAGCTGAATTCACGCTGACTGAACAAGCTATAAGTGATAGTGTTATTTTGGTGTTCTTTATTGACAAATGAAGTTTCTTTTTCTCCTGAAGCTTAGGGGTCTTATCTAGACATCAAGCTGACATTGTATTTCTAATATGCTCCACCTTAGCATGTGTTTGGTGCTTCCTTGTACTTGGTAAGAAGTCAAACTGGTTCTTAAAAACAACTTTGTAATGTGTAAAAGTTCCCAACTTGACCAGCTTAGTTCTCATCTAGACATCAAGCTAACATTGTATTTCTGATATGCTCCACCTTATCATGTGTTTGGTGCTTCCTTGTCTTGGTAAAAAGTCAAACTGATTCTTAAAAACAACTTTGTAATGTGTAAAAGTTCCCAACTTGACCAGCCTAGTTTTCATCTAGACATCAAGCTAACATTGTATTTCTAATATGCTCCCCTTTATCATGTGTTTGGTTTTGCAGTGGTGCTAGATTGCTTGGTCCCAAACTCCGAATCCATGGTTCATCTATATCTTTTAAGATCACTGCTTAAGGCCGGTATGCGACATGCCATTAGTCAATTAGTGCAACTTACTTACCATTTTTACGTGGGTGCATAACTTCTCAATTAGTGCAACTTACTTGCCATTTTTACGTGGGTGCATAACTTCTCATTTTTTTAACGACTTCAGTGGAGCATTTGCGAGTTAGGCTGTGTTCATATGACCATTTCAGTTTATTTTGAGCTGAAACTCAATAAATTGAAACAATTAATTCAGGTGTAGCTCCGTTTGGATAAATATTGAACGTGACTAATACTTAAGAAGATGATTTCACGCATCTTTCACTTTTTGCATTTCAGTCCAACCCTTTAATTTTGACATAAGTTTATGTCAATTTATTTAATCATCCTCTCATTCGAAATTTATGTTATTCTCACTGAAACATATGGTTTATTCTAATTTAACATTTTTTTCGTTACTTGAGTTGTGTAAACAAGCTTACTTCATTCGGTTGACATTTCATTTTGAGCAACTTTTATTCAACTTTAGATAACAATATCTAATTTAGACTAGCTTTCGATCAGCTTCCATTTATTCTTCCAAACAATTCATTTCCCATCTTTATTGATCTTTAAATATTGTTATCAAATATCAATGCATAATATCGTATCAGGCCGGCCTGATGGAAACCGCCATCAGGCTGAGGCCATTTGGAGACCTTCCCGGTAGAATTTTTAGATGAAATTTTATGAGCATGTTTCTCATCAAGTCTAGTTTATCAATATCAAATTTCAGCTAAAAATTCAATCGGGAAGAAGTCAAATAAATTCTTTACAAAAACTGTGCTTTATATATATAAACAGCGCAATTTTCTTCAAGAATTTATTTGACTGCCTCCCCGATTGAATTTTTAGCTGAAATTTGGTATGGATAAACTATACTTGATTAGGAACATGCTCAAAAAATTTCATCAAAAATTTCTACAGGGAAGGGCCTCTGATGGCCTCAGCCGGACGGCGAATCCTGTCAGGCCAGCCTGACAGGATCTCTACTACACACACATGTATATATGGTTATATAATAATAGATCGAATGGTTCATTCATCAACCAATATATTACTCCTTTAGCAATAGTGCATTTAGTGCATTTACCGAGTCTTTATCTTCATGAGCAATAGTGCATTTAGTCCTTTAGTTATGTGCATGACATCATCACCCTTTCATCCCTCCATTATCAAACAACGTTTCGTCTTTAGCCCTTTGGTTTATTTACAGTTAAGTTCGAAAGCTGAGGGATAAAAAACTAAGTAGTACTTATCAATAGTATATGGATTGCTAAAAATGCAATCCAAACGTAATATGGCTGAATCACAAACGTTTGAAGACGATAAGATAATAATTTCCATCTTATATAAAAGTAATTATCATATTAATACAAAGAAAAGAAATTGCACACTTCCCAAATTCTTTTGGGAGTAAGGTTTGGATGTTGTTGTTAGTAAAAGAAATTGCACTCTTCTTACTTATTTTTCTGTTAATGACATGTTGCTTTTATTTTAACATTGGAATCCTATAATGTCAAAATTGACACCGCATAGTAATAGTAGACATTAAAGAAAGGGAAAACTTACAAATATAACTCTATAGTATGAGTGTGAGTACAAATATATCATTGTTCTATTTTTCAGAACAAATATACCTTTGAAGTATATTTTGAAGTGTATATATACGTCTGAACTTTTAAAAAGTGAAAAAATACCCCTCATGTTCTTACAAAGGAGCAAATTTACCTTTATTGACTTTAAATAAATAAAATAAATTTCAAAAATACCAAAAATAAATTATAAATTCGAAATTTAAAAATAAAGATTTATTATTATGTTAACCTATTAATTTTTTAATTTTAAATTGCAAAATTATTATTTTTTCGTTGTAAACTAGTATAGTACCCGTGCATACGCACTGGAAATAACAGTCGGTGCATATATTTTTACTCATTATCTAATTAAATATTAAAATAAAAATAACTTTAAATTTTAGGATTCTACGTTTTCGAAAAACAAAAGTACAATAACCTAATACCATAAAATATAAGTTCATACAATAAATATACAATGATGAGTATATTAGGAAAAATTTATTAAACACCACTGATTAGAATTTGCTACTTATTAATTGTGATGATTAAATTAATTTTAAAATTAAGTACTATTCTAAAAAGGTGAATACAATGAATATTAAAATTAATGAATACTAAGTATTAGTTATATAAGAACTTGCTACTCATTAGTTAAATTAGTGCTATCATATGAGAGGAAAATTATCCTACTCAATTCTTAATCGGTTTATCTAATACAAAAAGGAACTACAAATGAGAGAAAATTCTCTCACTCAATTGTTAGTTAGCCGAATTAACTTATACCTAAAACACTACGCATGAGAGAAAAAATTCTACTACTTAACTGTTAGCTGGCTTATTTTATTTTATACTTAAAAGATCGACATATATGAGAATTCCCCGCTCAATTGTTAGCAAATTTATCTTCTATAATATAATAATATAATACCTAAAACCACTACATATGGGCTAGAAAATTTTGCCACTCAATTGTAAGCTAGACTATCTTATACTCCCTTCGTCCCAATTTGATAGTCTCATTTCTTTTGGGCACAAGTTTTAATAAAGTGGTTGAAAAGGTAAAAGTTATGGTTGAAATTTGAGTATAATAAAGTGAAATGATATGGACCACATCTTTCTTTCCAAAAAGGGAAACGAGACCATCATTTTGGGACATCCCAAAGAGGAAATACAAGACTATCATTTTGGGACGGAGTGAGTACTCCGTATATACTTAAAAAGAACTACATATGAGACAAAAAGTTCCCCCGCTCTATTATTAGCAAACTTATCTTTTTATACTTAAAACTCTTACATATGAGAGATAAAGTTATCCCGCGCAATTGTTAGTCGGCTTACCTTATCTCTAAAATTACTACATATCAGAGAGAATAATTCTTCCGCTCAATTGTTAGTTGTCTTATCTTTTTATACTTAAAATAATTATACATGAGAGAGGAAATTATTTTGTACAATTGTTAGCAAGTTTATCTTCTAATACCTAAATGAACTACATATAAAAGAAATTTTGTCCGCTCAATCGTTAGACGGCTTATTGCTTAGTCTTTCTTATATCTAAAATCTTATCTTATATCTAAAAGTATTATATGTGATAGAAATTTGTTTAGATTCTTATACCTTAAAGCAATAGAGATGAAAGAGCAAATTATCTCGCTCAATTGTTGTTGTCAACTTATCTTATCTTATATCTTATATATTATATACTTAAAAGAACAACATATGAGAGAAAGTTATCTCGCTCAATTGTTAGCAAGTTGATCTTATAATAATATAATATCTAAAAGCACTACATATGAGAGTGAAATCTCCCCCCCCCTCCTCAATTCTCCCGCTCAATTGTTGCAAGATTACCTTGTAATCTTATAATACCTAAAAGCGCTACAGATGAGAGATAAAATTCTTTTCCTCAGTTATTAACAAGCGTATCTTCTTATATCTAAAATCACTACAAATGAGAAAATTTTCTCACTCAATTGTTAGCCGGCTTACCTTATACCGAAAAGCACACTACATATGGCAGAGAAAATACTTCACCTCACTTGTTAGCCAACATACCTTATACTTAAAAGAACGTAACTACATATGACAAACAAAGTTTTTCCTCTCAATTGTTACCACACTTATCTTCTAATATCTAAAAACACTACATATGAGAGAGAAAGTTGTCCCACTCAATTGTTAGACGGCTTATCTTGTTCCTAATAGCTTTATAATACGTATATGATAGAGGAAATCCTCTCGCTCAATTGTTAACCTGTTTAATTATGACATAATCTTCTTATACCTAAAATTTTATACCTAAAAGAATTATAAATGTGATAGAAAATTATGGCACTCAATTGTTAGATGTCTTATCTTTTATCTAAAAGCATTACATATAAGTGAGAAATTTTGGTCGCTAAATTGTAAAAGAAATTATCTCGCTCTATTGTTAGTTGACTTATCTTCTACCTACATATAAAAGAAATTTTGTCCGCTCAATTGTTAGACGGCTTATTGCTTAGTCTTTCTTATATCTAAAATCTTATCTTATGTCTAAAAGTATTATATGTGACAGAAATTTGTTTAGATTCTTATACCTAAAAGCAATACAAATGAAAGAGCAAATTATCTCGCTCAATTGTTGTTGTCAACTTATCTTATCTTATATCTTATATCTTATATACTTAAAAGAACAACATATGAGATAGAAAGTTATATCGCTCAATTGTTAGCAAGTTTATCTTATAATAATAATATAATATCTAAAAGCACTACATATGAGAGTGATTCCCCCCCCCCCCCCCCCCCTCCTCAATTCTCCCGCTCAATTGTTGCAAGATTACCTTCTAATCTTCTAATACCTAAAAGCGCTACAGATGAGAGAGAAAATTCTTTTCCTCAATTATTAGCAAGTGTATCTTCTTATATCTAAAATCACTACATATGAGAGAAAATTTTCTCACTCAATTGTTAGCCGGATTACCTTATACCGAAAAGCACACTACATATGGCAGAGAAAATACTTAACCTCACTTGTTAGCCAACTTACCAGCCTTACCTTATACTTAAAAGAACGTAACTACATATGACAAACAAAGTTTTTCCACTCAATTGTTACCACACTTATCTTCTAATACTATCCTCTGTTCCATAAAAGTTGCAACATTTTGACTTTCACGTTTGCCAACGCGCAACTTTAACTGTAATTATATTTATTTACGTATTAGTAAACATTAAAAAAAGTTAATATATTGGAAATTTACATTAATACAAATGTATTAATATTTTATACATAATATTTTTATTATATATATTATTAGAAAATCGTAGTCAAAGTAAGGTGTGTGAATAGTGCAGAAATTCCAATGTTGCAACTTTTATGGAACGGAGGAAGTATCTAAAAGCACTACATATGAGAGAGAAAGTTGTCCCGCTCAATTGTTAGACGGCTTATCTTGTTCCTAATAGCATTATAATATGTATATGATAAAGGAAATCCTCTCGCTCAATTGTTAACCTGCTTAATTATGACATAATCTTCTTATACCTAAAATTTTATACCTAAAAGCATTATATATGTGATAGAAAATTATGGCACTCAATTGTTAGATCTTTTATCTTTTATCTAAAAGCATTACATATGAGAGAGAAAATTTGGTCACTCAATTGTAAACCGACTTATCTTATACTTCAAAGCACTCCATATGAGAGAGAATTATCTCGCTATATTGTTAGTTGACTTATCTTCTACTTAAAAGCATTATACTATCGTATATGAGAGAGAAAATTATTTTACATCTTCCAAAATGTGT